TGATATATTTCTAGTATTTGCTCAAGCAATTTACAAGCTAGAAGAAAATGACTTAAAGGGTAAGCGTTCTTTTTTTTTTTATTAAATAGTTAATAACATTAATAGATCATTCGTTAATCGGTAGAAATTCAAAAATGGCTCATGTTGATTCCGAATTCGAGGGAATCAATAAACAACATAAAACATATATAAAATTTATTATAGTGATCGAAGGCTTAATTGGTGCCTGCCAATAAATTTTAAATTAAAAAGGGATACTGATTAACTTACTAAAATCATGTTTAAGAATTGGTTAGTTTAATCAACTTTATAAATAGGTTGTGACTCTCGATAAAGTAGATGATTAATGTAGAATGACTAATTAAAATATAGACATAATCGATCGAAACAAACGTTAATAAAGTCATAATAAATTTGATTCTTACCTATCCGTTACACATCGTGAGTCATTGTATGTTGAAGTACAATTTTAAGGATAATTTTTTGAGTGATAATATTCTTACCTGGATTTATTGGTTTATTTACTGGTTTAGGGAGTTCTTTAAGTTTCAGGTCGACTTGTGTAAATAGCCTGCGGATGATTCTTGCCGAGTTGACTGATTATATGTTGAGGGATTTTGCCTGATTCTTTAATTTCTCCAACTTGTTTATATAATTCAGTTTCTTATTTTTCAAATCATAAAAAAAATTGGTTAGCTAATTCTTCAGCAGTTGGTCTGTTATGAGGTTTAGATCTAAACATTTATTCATTAAATCCAAAAGTGGTTGAGGAACTTTACATTCGATTCTAGGTCTATAGCCTTGACAAATAGATAATACTAGTTTATGATCATGTGGAATATCATAATATGTGGATGTCCAATAAAAAATTCATTCCGAAAGAATAAATATCTGGAAGAGCTCTTTTGAATGAGTCATGTGACACTGGCTTACATAAACCAAAATCAGTAATGAAAGAATCAAACATATTTTGATTAACTATATTAAATCTTTATGCATTGGCTTTGTGAATTGTATAAAGCCTTTCAGCTATGAAATGTAAGTTAGCTAATTTAGAACTCCAAACTAATTCATTATATTTATTATCTAATAATTTTCGATGACTTTCTCGTTTTGCATATTTAGAGATTCAAGTAAATCTTTACCCGGGTATTATTAAATTACCCGGTTATCCGGATAATTTATTATAGCTCTATAATAAAAATATCTACCCGGGTACAACCTCTTGCATATCCATAACTGTCGCGGCTGATGCTGAAATTTAGGGTCCCCATTTAAATCTACCGGGTGGGTGAAAAGTCTCTATACAGGTCCCTTTTTTTACTATCTCCGCTAAGATTTATAGTACCTATAATAATTTTAAATACAATTTATATATAATATTTGCAATAACTGTATAGAGACTTTTCACCCACCCGGTATATAATACCTACTAAAATTCACATACTTTTTTTACTAACAACACTAACCCTAACCCTAACCTAATCCCTAACCAAAAGGCCCAAAAAATTTTTAAAATTTCATAATAAAATAGGTCAAAATTTCAGCATCAGCCGTGACAATAAATTATAATGCTTGTAAAAATTCTAGTTTCATATCATAATTATCAAGACTTTTTAAACAAGCATCTATTCTCGACATTCCCTCCCATTCATTTTTCTTCCAATCATGTTCTATAATATATCCTACTGCTTTAAAAACGGTGAAAAAGCTCCTTTAGTAAGATACTTCATGTTTGCAAATTACTAAAACGCATCCATTCAATTATGTCATTAAACAACTTTGCATTATTAATAAGTTGTATTTGTTGAATTAATTGATCAATGTCGTGATTGTCACTTGTCCAATTATAAGTTCTTTTTTTAATTAAACAGATAATCGAAATCCACTATTCTTCTATATAAAAGTTGACTAATCATTAAATAGGAGGCAAAATTAATGAGCAGTACGGCAATATACCAGCAGCACGGCATTGTGGAAATATAGCATTACGATATATGTCATAATTCAGTAATTACGACGACAGCGATAGTTCAAACCAATTCCTAAATATATATTATACCGTTTCATAGTAACAATAATAATTAACTCGATATATTCTATTAGCATGTCGGCGGATTTTTTGAATTTACTATTAAAAATTCCAAAAGTATTTAAGAGTGGATAACTTTTGATTCACTGATCCGTTTTCAATGAAACAATTGCCAAAATGTTCGCCTCGACGAGACGATTCTAATGGTCCCAAAATCGTCAAAACAAGAACGCAGTATCCCGATACCGTTAATGATTTGTTTCACTTCGGGTGTTATTGGATTGGTTTAACCAATCCGAAAACACACAAATCTCCATCAACCTCGGGATCCTGTGATTGGATTTTGACGATTTTGGGACCATTAGGTTCGTCTCGTCGAAGCGAACATTTTGGCAATTGTTTCATTGAAAACGGACCAGTGGATAAAAGTTATTCGCTGTTAAATATTTTTGGAATTTTTAATAGTAAATTCGAAAAATCTGCCGATATGGAATTATTCATACTACAAAATAACATCCCATATTTTATAATATCAATCTAATTTTGTACACCATATAACGTCCCACAGTGATAACGCCAAAGGTTTTTTTTTTTTATTAATTAATAAAAAATAAATAAATAAATATCTTTCAACTAAATGTTCCACTTGGAATGAATGAGATTCAGTTGATTCAGCTATTGATGATTAAATAATCTCATCAGATGTGTTAACGTGAAAGATAGTTGTTTGATAGCGATAGGATAAGCTATCTTTGAATATACCGTTATCTGTTATCCGATATAACATTACATTAATTAATTGACTACCAATTTTTTTGGGTCACCCCATATAGGAATTTCCAAATTTGGTGGAAAACCTGCTCTTGCACAGGTTTTCGACAATCAGGTGAAATATCGGACGTAATTTGTGTACGGTATACAATTCAATACTAACTATACTATTTAGACGAATATATCTCAGGATCCAGTGATCGGATTCGATCACCGCTCGGTTCTTTTCAGTGTGAGGAATAAAATGGATAAAATACACGAATATAATAATAAATGGACGCCGAGGTAATCACAATTCGTCCAAATACTCACTTTTCAAAAAATTTTAATCAGTTTTATGAAAAAAATAACCAGATTTTTATATTGAAAAACTTTAATTTCGTTAAAATACTCTTTCTATCTACGTACGTTTATTTATTTTATAAAAAATAAAAATAATAAAAATCTTTAAACTAAAATATTCCACTTGAATCGCTCGTATTCTTGGCAGTGAATGAGATTATATTGTATCCGTCAAGAAAATCTTTACTCGGGTATTATTAAACTACCCGGTTATCGGATAATTTATTATAGCTATATAATAAAAATGTCTGCCCGGTTACAATCTTTAAATGAGATTCATTTGGTTCAACTATTTATGATTTAAATAATCTTATCTGATGCGTTAACGTGAAAGGTAATTATTTTTAATTATACAGGTAATTGTTTGATAGCGATAGCAATGATTCGGATAAGCTATCAGTTATCTGTTATCTAGCCCAAACACATTAATCGAATTGACTAACCAATCGAAAGTCTATATTTTTTGGGTCACTCCTCATAAACATTCCCAAATTTGACGGAAAACCTGCTCTTGCACGACAATCAGATGAAGGACGTAAGTTGTACTACGACATCCATCTCATAATGCACTTCTTACTATACTATTTAGACGAATATATCTCAGGATCTAGTGATCGGATTCGAGCATTTTTTTCACTGTTTGATCCCTTTCAATATGAGAAATAAGATGGAGGAAAATACACGAATATAATAATCATTGGACGCCGAGATAATCACAATTCCTCACCTTTAAAAGAATTTTAATCAGTTTTATGAAGAAAAATAAATAAATTTTTTATACCGAAAAGTTTTACTTCGTCAATATGTCCTTTCTATCTACGTACGTTTATTTATTTTATAAAAAAAAAAATATCTTTCAACTAAAATATTCCATTTCGATCGTTCATATTCTTGGCTATGAATGGAATTAGAGATTGTACCCATCAAGAAAATCTCTACCCGGGTATTATTAGTCCGAGTAATTTATTATAGCTATGCCTACTCTCATTATGAGATTCAGTTGGTTCACTATTGATAATTTGAATAATCTTATCTGAGATAGTGATCCGGATAAGATATTTTTAAGCGCTCTGTTATCTGTTATAACGATAAGACATTAATCAAATGGTTAATAATTTTCAGCCAATCAGAAGCCTGGGTCACTCCGCATATAGATTTCCTAAATTTGGTGGACTGTAACAAGCAAGCCTCGACAATCTAAGGCACTTACACTATTTAGACGAATATATCTCAGGATCCAGTGATCAGATTCTAGCGGTTTTTCACCGTCGGTTCCTTTCAGTGTGAGGAATAAAATACACGAATATAATAATCATTGGACGCCGAGATAATCACATTTCGTCTAAATACTCACCTTTCAAAGAATTTTAATTAGTTTTATGATAAGAAATAAATAAATTTTTTATATCGAGAACTTCGTCAAAATACCCTTTCTATCTAAGTGTGTTTATTTACTTTTTTAGAATTATATCGAATTTGGCTTATATTAGCGCCAGTTTTCGTTTAGGTCGTACTATCATTAATGTTTGACAGCTTGGTGATACGACGATTCCGGACAAGCCCGCGTTTATTTCTTTAATATTATTGGCCCAATCAACGGATGACATCACAGGCAGGTGTTAAAAAAGGGATTAATAATACAAATCATACATCAATTATACGCGTATAAATAATTTTAAATGGCCTGGTTGTATATATTATCAAGCAGATAAATACCAGAAAGATGTGCACTTAAAAAAAAACCTAAAAGAAAGAAATCAAATATAATATAAAAAACTTAAAAAGCAAAAAATAAAAAAGATAAAAAAAATAAATTAAAATAATAAAATTAAAATAAAATAATATTATAACCATCATGACAACGAAAACAGAAATTGCCCCAGAAATCATAAGTACCAGGCCAGAATTAGGCGAGCTCATAGAAAGAGTGGTCAATGTTACTAACAATGCATTATCACCTATTGTCCCAATGCTCGGTGTGGTCATCTCTTTAATAAATGAAATATTTGAAATCCATGAGAATGCTCAATCCAATAGGAGCATGTCCAGATCTATAATTAACCGCATGATATCTGTCGAAACAGCCATAAAATCATGGAAATCACAGATCAAATGTGACGAAAAATTCCGAGACTTACAGCATCAAGAATTATTTGTTAAATTTCAATCTGTTCTGAAGAAGATTAAAATGTTTGCAGAAACAGCGACACATTTAGGATTTTTGGAATCAATATTATTTGCAACGGGCATAAATAAGAAATATAATGAATTAATGAAGGATAATGAAGGAGTATGATGATTGTATGAATGATTTGAATTTTACGATAAATATCGAAGCAATTAAGGTATTGTGAATTCTCTATTGTGACAATCCTCAATAATGTAACACGTCCTCAAGAAATTAGTAAACATTCCACTGATACACATTATTACAAATTTGATACGTCATTTTAAACAATAATGTAGCGATTAAATATCATTTATCAAGATATATGTTACATTAAAAACCAACTTGAAAGAACAGATGACTCGATCCCACAACTTGATCCAATCTTGCTAAAGGATCCGTTAATTATCCACAAATCAGATTATAGCGATAAATTAGAACAAATAATAAAAAAGGTCTATAAAGGTTTCATCGAGGTTGCGTGCAAATCACGTGATCCAGATAAACATAAGTTTCGGCGTGAGTTATTAATTCTAGGGAAACTAGGTGAATGCCAGAATATTGAAAAATTTTACGGGCTTTCCAAAATTGATGGGAAAGAGGTCATGATTTTCGAGTGGGTCGAAATGGGAAATTTGAGAGAGATCTATAACCAAGAAAGCTCAAACTGTGTTTGAGATATACAAAGGGATCATGTTTTTGGGCTCCATTGGTATTTTTCACAATGATATTCGATGTGAGAATACATACGTATAATGGTGGGATGACAAATTGCCTTTTTTGCATAATCTATATTTGTTAAAATTTAATATAACTAACATATTATCATTTATGCTGTACGTATAGATGTCACACTTTATGGAACCGAAACTCGCAAATTTTCATTTTGCTACGTATATTGGATAATGAGACAAATATAGCAATAAATCAGCCAAAAGAAGTTATTAATTGGATGGCTCCCGAGAAAGTTGATAGAAACAGATAATTCTAGTCAAATCTCATATAACCAAAAAGGTGAAACTTTCAGGTATTTTTTCTTTTTTTATAGTTTATTTTTTCTAAGTTTTAGCTACAATTTAATAATTTTTCGTCATAACTGGTTAATTTTTTATTACAGCTTTGGAATGCTTATGTGGGAATTAGCTTACCAAAAGATCCCTTATAGTAATATGAAATTAGACGATATAATAACTCATGTTATAAACGGCAAAAGAGAAACTTGTGACAATTTTCTTGATCCAGAAAATAAGGTTATTCATGAAAGTTTTTTAGATATTATTCAACATGGTATATTTTTTTAACCTTGTATTTTAGGTGGCATAAATTACGAATCCTAACATTCACAATTACTTAGTTTTATTTTATTTTTTTAAAGCATGGATAGAAGCTCCAGAAGAAAGAATCAATATGAATGCATTATATTAATTGAATAATCACTGCTGACACGATAATTAAAAGTAATATTCGCCATTTTCGCTTTCTAACATAAAAATAAATAGTAAGTAGAAATTCGCCTTCGAAATAAAAAAAATCATACAACAAACAATGTATGTTAACCGGACCTTGAGAGTA